CCCCAAAACCCCAAAACCCCAAAACCCCAAAACCCCTCTCTCAAATATAATTATTGAATCTAAAGTAAGTAAATGTCAACTTTAAAATAGCCTCGTTTGATTCCCATAGTTCCTGAGACTAAGGAGATTACTCTAATTCCAGTATTATATTACCGAAATAGTACTGTTTTAGGTATCAGAGCATATCTTAGCCATTTTAATGAATATTTACCTTGGAAAAAGATTTCTTCATATAAGACTCATCTTATAAGGACATTAGCAAATATAAATCAGCCCAAGTGAATGAAAGGCAGCTGATATTTTGCTTAAATCTTCTCTATCTAAACTATTCATCCTGTTGATTACAACGGCCACTATGGGGACTTATCCTAAAGAGATATGGTGAGACAGGAGCAAACCTTATTGATCTAATATTATTCTTATTCTATCTCAAAATCTATCGTACCACTTCTAGATTTTATTTCTTCCTTTCATTATATTCATGAGGCTGTCAGAGACATACTTTCGGAATAAAGATCTAGATTGGGCTCGAAATCTCTAATTTATAAATTACTAACAGTTGAGTTATTCACATGTAATTCTTAGGAATAAGTCATAGTCGTGTTAAAACCTGTATAACTTTTTAGTATTTGGGAATAAGAATTTATATATGGGGCGCCAAAGTTGATAATTTCTTATTAACATCCTTGTTGCACTCATATCAAATTCTATAATCTTCGGTTCGGATAGTTATAATTAGATGGTGGAAATACCATAATTTTGGAGATCCTGAATTCCTGACTGGGGCTATAGACACATGCAAAGTTTGATTGAAAATCATACGAAGAAGATCAGCGGTAAGTTCAAAATTAGGCTTGTCAGGGATTTGAGAATCATCGTGACCACATTTTGGAATTATAAGGAACTGGATCTCTATCAGATTTCTAAGTGAATATTTTTCCAGATAAAAGATAGCGCATATTTACTTTCTTTTCACCAACTTGTTAAATTTCGAACCCGAAATGCCCATCTAATGTAATCTAGGTGAACAAGGAGGTATAGATGCAAGCTCCAAGATGGACAAAGAGAAGAAAGCAGGTAAAGTAGCACAGGCTTTATCCAATCTAGCTGAAGTGTATTGATCTATTAGTTGAGTATTTTGATAATTGCTTCCCAACTTTTTGTTAATAATTCTCGATTTAAAAGTTATTCACCATGAATCTTCTGAAAGAAATGTTCTTTCATTAAATCTGTCTATTTCTAAAGAATTTATGTAGAAATTATCAACCAGATGAAAGAAGAAGTCCCGGTCGTACTTCTGAACCAATGGCTAGATATCGAGCCAGAGAAATCAGGATTTGCCAAAATTGACAACTGCAAGCTCAATGCTGAGGAATATTCGGTCTATTCAGATGAAACTATGTCTCAAGGTATAAGCTTTAAGAGTAGCGCTGTGCTGAAGGATATCGCTAAGAGGAAGAGTATGATGATGAATAACAGTAATCAATTTCAGGAAGTAAGTCTTACCATACTACTTTTTGCTTACTTTACTATAGAATTTATTAAAAATTGACCCCAAGATGCAAGGTATAGCTCAAATCTCACCTATAGCTAACCTCACTAGAAAACTAACTGTGAACACTAGCAATAAGATGAACAAGAGCAAATTTGAGAGTAGTGCAAGAGATATAGAGTGTATCTCAGAGATCTCTTCTGATAATTCAGAAAGCTTTTTGGCTGCAAGTCCAATGCCAAGTGTGGAGAAATAGCTCCAGAAATAACTCTGTTTCACAGTCAACTTTCCGCAAGAATGCTAACTTAAAGCACAATGGGCAACTCAAAATAGAAGAAAGGTAATTTTCTTTACTATTTTTAGAGAAATAAGAGTAGATCCTCCAGATTCTCCTAAGAAAATTGAGACAGCTTCGCTTTTCAAGATGGCTCAGTGAACTCCAATAAAATTAAAATCGAATTCAGAAACCAAGCGTGTATCTAAGAATGCTCACAAGTTCTATCAGAGTGCCAAAGCTGTAAGTTATGAGTCTTGATCGGTGTAGAATGATACAAGAGTGATGAATGCTAGCAAGATTGGGTCGACACATCCTCCCCCTTCGGTAGGTGTATTTAATAATATATTTAGGATATATTGATACACAAAAGAAGAAGAAATTGTCCTCTATTTGGCCACCAAAATGTATCAAAGAAGATTTTTAGAGGAAAGAAGATTAATGAAATTCTGGAAGTTGATAGATACATCCATATGTAAGTACTCTCTTTATTTGTAGGAGAAATGCACCTAAAGGGAGCAAAATAGCTCAGCCATCTAACACGTTTATTCCACTTCAAAGAAAAGACTCAAAAGGGTAAGCATTTCTTCTTAGGAAGAGTATCAAATATTCTATCTAGTTTTGACAAACCAGAGTTTAATCTGCCAACGTTTGATAAGAAACCACAAGTACAGAAAAAGGCTAGCCTTAGTCAGACGAAGTATCATATCAGAATTTCTAAGAATATCAAAGGGATGCCTCAAAGATTAGATGACTTTACTTTAAACTGTATTGAACCTTACTAATATTTCTAGCTAGAACAATGAAGAAACTACAGACACCAATGGTTAACAAGATATCAGACATTAAGGTGGACATGACTTCGGATATATTCAAAGCCTGGGGAAAGAGTAGGCCCAAGATAAAGATCGAACTCAATAACTACAGTAAGCAATAGTTCTAATTCCTTTATAGCGACTAATAATCGCAAGAGTCGAGAGAGGAAATTTTTCTATTATCCGTACGTAGCTATAGTCTCTAATTTATAGTAAAAATATACAGAAGGCAACTAGTCAGAGTAAGAACCTCAAGTGCTTCCCTATCCAGAATAGATCCATGCTGTAGGTCCTTTCAGCTAACGGTTTAGGCAACATGGAGGACAGTTGTTGATCAAAGGAAAAGGATTCAGAAATTCAATGGTCCCAATTCGTACGAAGAAATAATTACACCTCTGGGGGATTATATTGGCTTATCATAATTCTTTTTATCTGACTTTAATTTCTCTATTTCCATCTCTTGTTGCTCAATGAAATCTCTGGTAAAGTTAAGCTCCTTCTTGACTTTCTCAAGTCTTTCCATGCAGTCACGCTCTTCTTCCCTGAGCTTATCAATGATAGAGTATTTTGCATTAATTTGGGATTGGATTTCAGCAGATTTCTAGAAGCGTTTATTGATGCAATACCTGTGCTCTTTCAGCTCTCTCTTCTTCCATGATTTCTTTCCTTAGCTGTTGGGTCTCTGTCGAATTGAGAATCTCAAAGTATTCCATTGATTCAAAATTAGACTGAAGGACATTCTCTTTAAGTGTTAGAGGCTTTGAGCTCTTTGTAACATCCTGTTCTTTACTCGTTCTGATAAGATCCTGTAAGATTATGTTCAAAGCTTTTGATTTGATTGCTGAACGACAAAATGGGCACTTCCGAAGTGCCTTGTTCTTTATGTTTAGAGTCACTGCTCTCTGTGGAATTAATCAAGAATTTACCAAAATGAGTGTCCACATGGAAATAAGACGTAAGGAGAATTATTAGGCGGAGTCATTAGCTCCAGTCAGATCGGACAGTTCTGTGACATCAATTTTGACTTGAGAGTTCTAGAAGGATGTTAAAGATTTCCAACAGGATATTAGAATTTATAAGTATTTACTCTTCCTTTTCCTCTTCAGTTAGATGTGCTTCAGGATTTGCACCTTTATTCTTTTCTTTCATTTTTTGGTTCAACCTGGATGCTATCTTTGCATACATCTATTGCTGATAAGATAGGTAGAATACATTTATCACATCGTTATCTTCAGCATCAACACTCTCATCATTTTTCAACTCATGTTTAACTTCTATAACCCCAAAATTAAATCTAAATCTCTCGAAAAAATTGGATTCCAACCCTAACCCTCAAAATTTATCTGGCAAAGCCATTTCAGCTGCACGATTTACCATTTTTGTAGATTTCTTCTTGGCGTTGTTTAAGCCAAGTTTTTCTCATCTATACCAAATTTTATGACCAAAATTTAAGGAAAAATCCTTCAAGTTCAAATCTTCTGGGAATCACTGAGACCCTAAGGCAATAGGGCTTGTAAAATCTTGAAGTGTATAAACCAAAAAGATAGAATAGACCTGACCTTCGTGATCTGATCCCTTTCCATTTTAATTTGAAAATTATATTTTTAGAGAGTTAATTGGGGTTTTGGGGTTTTGGGGTTTTGGGGTTTTGGGG